AACCCAGGCCACACGCATGCCAGGTGGGCACGCTACCACTTGAGCCACATCCCCAGCCCTCACTAAATTATTTTTAAGCAAATCCCATATATCATATAATTTTATTCATAAATACTCTATTATGTCTTACTAAAAAATAAAACTCCTTAGCCACACTTTTAAAAATCAGCAATTTTTTAAATATCAAATATCCAGTTAAATTTTTTTTCTTGGTATTGGGGATGGAAACCAGGTCCTCATGCATGCTAGGCACAAAGCTCTACCATTAACCACCACACCTCCAGACACACAAATGTCTTCTTAAAAATGTCTCAGTAAATATTATTAACCCGAGTGACTAATTTTTTTGCCATTACCATTGTAATTTACCTCCATTAATCCTCATCCACCCCTTCCCCAGCCTTATAGGGATTGCTCAACAGGTTGAAAGCATTATAAATACTTTGCATTTAGTCAGAGGAAAATAAAACTGTCCAGGATCATTAACAAGCAAGTCAGTATTGCAAGAGGTTTGTGTACCCAGAGGATGGTGCAGATGAGGAAGAGACACCAGGAAGGTACCAGAGGAGGAGCACAGGGTACTGATCACTTCGTGCTGCCTAAGCCCTTTCAGAATGAGTCAGGGCATGAAAGAAAGGTTAAAAAACAATCAGGGAAAAAAGAAGGAACAGAAGGAAAAAGAAGAAGAGGAGGAAGAAAGAAGGAAGGGAGTCACATATTAGGCTCAATCCCAAAGCCTTCTGTCATTCCTTCCTCTTAGGAAAAATGGGTCTCCGGTGTGTGTGGACCAAGTCACATAACCTCTCAGAGCCTCTGCCACTGCTTTGTAAAATAAGGAAAGGAGCACACGCCTTTATTCCCCGAAACTCTGGGGCTAAGGCGGGAGGATTGAAAGTTTGAGGCCAGCTGGGCAACTTAGTGGACCCTGTCTAAAATAAAAAGGGCTGGGGATATAGCTCAGTGTCAGAGTGCCCCTGCATTCAATCTCCAGTATTTAAAAAAAATCATAACAATAGTGTCAATATAATTGTGAATAAAAATAATGACAACAGCTGCCACATGAGCCTGTCACTATGCCGAGTATGAAGGTTTTAACGTGTATTCTCTCATTTACATGTTTTTACACATACGATCTCATTTAATATTACCACAATCTATTTATATTTAACTCTGACAGATACAGTCATGTCAGATGAGAAGAACATGAGAAGAACATTCTTTAGAGTAGTCATGATCATAACTCCGTCCTTCACTTTAAATCACTGTCATGGTCTGTAAAGTTTTTCTTCTTTCCTTCAGCCTCTCTCCTCTCTCATCCTCTCTCTCAGCACTGGCTTACTGAGAAGTTTCCAAACCTAGTGATTCTATACTTAGTCTTCCTCTCAATTAACTTTTTCTTTTCTTTGTGATACTGGAGATAGACCCCAGGGGTACTCTACCTAATAGGTGACTCCTTTCCTTCCCTCCTCCTCCTCCTTTTCCTCCTCCTATTCTTTTTCCTCCTTTTCCACTGGTTGTGGTTACTTTTTTTTTTTTTTTTTTTTAACCTTTCTTCCACTCCCTGACTCATTCCAAAAGGGCTTAAGGC